TCCACAGCCCTTTAAACTTGCTTTTTGATGGAACCTGGAAGTTTCACAGTGCCTTTGTATCCACTAAAATGTGCAGGTTGCTTCCTTGTGCTGCTTCTGGAGTGCAGGCAGCCAACACAGAGGTCCCAGGTCTCATGAAGCTTGTGATTATTCACTGCTGAACTAAGCAAGGTCCAGAAAACAATGGCATGACCTGATCCTGAAAGATGGAATTGGCTCATTGCCATGCATAAGCTGTTAATCATCTAAGATGCTGTAAAGCTGCTTTCAAGAAAACACTCTTCGATGGTGGTCATTCTGCTGAGTCTTGACATGTGCAGGGTTTTTTCTGTACTAAATTCCAAAAAATGTTTGAAGGCCAGCTTGTGAAATACTCTTCTTGCAAAAGCTAATGATCAGCCTGAGCGTGGGGAGGAAAAAGCCCAAAAAGGGGCAGATACATGTATTGTGTTCAGTAGTGAAGACTTGCTGCCTTCCTCATCCACCATACAGAGCTGGGGTGGGCAGAGCAGCGTTTGACTGGGATTCTGCAGACTTGGCCCTGTGCTGATGTGGTGTGTAGCCATGGAGGCCTTACCTCCCAAGCTGTTGGATCTCTCCGTTGGCTCACTTTTTGTCTGACTTTGGAAAGCCTCAGGGGCAACAACCATCTCTAACTTAGTGTTTACAGCATAATCCAGCCTTGATTGGTTGTTTTGGACGCTATGACTCCTTAGTAAAGCGAAGAATTTGTGGTTACAGCACCTGTAGGCCAAGAGGGGTGAAGGAAATTGTGAGAATTTAAGAAGAAAAAAAAATCATCAGTTTAATACCTTAAATACAGCTATCAAAAGAAAGAATCTAATTGAAACTGACAGTATTTATTGATGTCTAAATTTGCTAGATGTTATGAATGTGAAAGAGATAACATTTAAAATTATGTAGGGAGTTAGGATATATTTTTAACTTTCAAGGTTGGTTTAAGCTGTATAAATATGTCTCAATTTCATCTGCTGCATTAGGTAACTATTACTGTCAGAAGTTCCAGTGGAGCAAATTTTAGCATTTACAGTTTTTAAAATGTCAGTGCTTTTCATTCATATTTGCACAGGGAAGCTTTTCTTTCCAGCAGCATTTATTTCAGACTGGATAAGAAGGGCAAGAGAAATATCTTCTTTTTTGAATCAGTTCATGCCGAGCTGAGGTGAGATTGAGACCAAAAGAAAGTTAATTTCCTCCTTTAGATTTAGAAGTAAAAATTTTTTGAAAAGACTGAGCAGTGCCAGTTCTCAGAATTTAAGGGACATAGGATCAAATTTTAAACACGTGCTTAGTGGGATTTTCAGAAATGACAGACTTGTCAGGCTGTCATTTCCTGATCTTATATGCTGTATTTCTTTTTAATGAATCAGTTCTAAGTGCAAGACATTTTTCAGTAGTGCACTTTATTTTCCTACATAGGCAGCACTTAAGATAGTCATATTTAGCTAGTGAAAATGTACATAAGCAGCATCTTACAATATATTATGGATCCTAATTCCCATCCAGTTGTAGCATGGAACTATTTCAAGCAGAAGGATAGTTAGGAATGTCTCATTCACCAATTGCCACATAAACCCAATATTTTTAGCGTGTTAAACAGAAATAGGAGTATATCTTCCTTGCTTAGCAACTGAGCAGAACTAACCTGTGGTTTTATGGAAAGCAGCAAAAAGGCAGAGTGCAAATTGGTGTTGAAGTCGTGATGTAAATCTCTTCTGAAGCTTTGTTTGGTGGTGGTGGGAGCAGACATGATGTCTGCTTGAGTCCCCCCTGCAAATTCTGTTGCAGTAACAGGAGTTCAGTTCCTACTCTTGCCCCTGCGATGCCAGGGCCTGTAGCGCACCTGAATGGAAGATCCCCAGCAGTGGCTACTGCCAAACTTCTGGGATGAAGCAAATTGTATCGTACTGTTGTCAGCATTGCTGTGTGTTCATGAGACTTGAGTGGATCGATGTTCTCACTGCAGATTAAGGATGTTCAGGTCTTCAAACTGCCAGCTAGTCCAAAAAAGCTGGTTTGCACTGAAGGTGCGGGTGGTTGTGGTGCACAGCTACAAACGTTGAGATCTTCCCCCTTCTCTGTTGTTGGCCATACGTCCTCTTCTGCTCTTTCTCTGTAGTCCAGTGGTCGTATAGCACATCCAAATCTGGTTGGCTTTCTTCTGGGAAGACATGACTTTCAGGCTAGGATTTTTGGTGGGTGAACACAGCTTTAATGCTTGGGGCGTAATAATTCTTGATTGTTGATTACAGTCTGACGTTAGCAGAGCCAGCCCCCTACGCCTCTGCCCCAAGACGCACCTTGCAGGTCATGTCAGCTGGACCGAAGCACAAAATACGAATCTCATTCAAGTGGTTCATCTTTTGGTAAATCTCTTTCTCATCTATTGGTCGGTTTGCAAACGGTACAAGCCTGCTACTGCTGCCTTTCCATTGAGCTGGGAGGTCCAAGCCTGCTAATGACCAAGTTTGAGAAGGAAAGGGGAGAGGCTGTCATTTATGTGAGCTTGCACATGTCATAACCAAGCTGTGCAGAGCACTGGTAATACTGACCAAGGGGCAACACATGTGCGTAGAGATGCGTTTTTCAAAGCAGCCAAAAAATGCTGTGCCCAGATGAAGGATTGCCATCTGAGTGCAGTTCTCGCCATTAAAAGAAGAGTAACATAGGCAGAGGCTTCAGTTAATAAAGTGTCACTTTGCTCCGTCGCGTAAATACGACTTGCTGTGCCCACTGGGCATTTGTGTGGAATTGAGGTTTACAGGAATTAACTGTTTATTTCTGGTGCCACATTTATTTAAGTTGTTTCAGACTTGTCGTGTTGAACAGGCAACTTGTAGACAGGAAGAAAGATACCTGGGTTAAAATAACCACTCAGCAGCAAGACTCGGCAGGTGAGATCCTGCCAATTGCTCAGGAGCTCTGGGACACCAGGAAGGACATTGAGACAATACACGCAAAAGAATGTGAGCAGTCAGCAAAATTGGGAACAAACCACCAGTGATACAAGCTGTGGATTGCAGTCTTTGAGCACAGGTACTGAGCCGGGCTGGGGCTGGACAGGACATGGCAAAAAGGGTCACTGATAGATACAGGGGCAGAAAAAGTTGAGCTCCTGCTTCGGTTTCGCCTGGAGAATCTGTGGAGTGAAAGATAAGCAAATCCCTAAAGCAAGCCAAATTATCGTTAATCGTTCAAACTATGACGCTTCCGTGACTGTTCTCCAAGCAGTTGGCTTTAGTGGAACTGACTGTGCTCAGACAGGGACATTACAGTGCATGGAAAACAAAATGGCCCGTAATATAAAGACCAGAAAAATCCCAACAGTTTCTCTTCATTTAAAATACCATAGTAGCAATATTCAGCAAGTGGCCAGAACTCCTGTTGCAGACTGACAGTGGTTTTCACGTGTGCGGGAGGCAAAGCGTAACGTGGAGACTACCTTAGCACTTCTGGCTGGAAGGCAGCCGGAGGGTGTATTGAGAATTCATTTGCGGTGTATTAGGGTGGTGTACACCACTGCTGTGTGCCTCTTCCAGATCAAGTTGACTTCTAGGGGGATGGTAAAATATTGGGGTTTGGCCGTCAAAACCTTACTTGCTTCTGGGGTGCTAAAAGAGCCCTCTAAAGCCTGAAGCCATGGGACGGTCCAGTGAGCATCCATGTGCTCACTGAGTAAGTACAACACTCCACAAAGCAGAGGCAGAGACTGCAAATAGTTAAAGAATGCTACCTAGAGGAGCCTGCCCTGTTCAGCTGCTCAGTAGGACCAGATTAGGAACCTGTTTCAGTGAAGGTCTTCCTACAGATACAGACCTCATCAGCTGCAAATAGCACTCTTAGTGCAACATTCAGTAATAGAAATGTGTTAAGCGATCAGCAGTGTTCTGTATCCAGCTGGTGCCTTCCATGCATACCCCACGCATTCATGTCTTTGCTAAGCATCATCCATGCCTTCATCTTCATTCCTTAATGGCTGGCCCTGGCAGCTGAAGCCCTCAACAGCTCAGGTCCTCATCATGTTGAAATATTTAGCACAAAGGCTCACTGTGCTTGACCTATGTGGTTAGTGAGTTAGGTTTTCCTTCCAAGCAAACCAGTCTAAGTCTGTCAGCCCCGAGAGCCTCATTCACCAATGCATCAATTCATAACTTTGGATCTGGGACCGTTCTGTAAATGCCCTGAATTGATAACTGAATATTTAACACTAATGGTTTCTTCCCCTCTGCAGAGGTTTGATGCTAAAGGACCTCACCTGGAAACTGTAGGCAGCTGCACAGGGTCTGAGGCACTGAGAATCACTGCTTCTGCTCCAGTGCACCCCGGGGTGGATGCAGATGGCCCCTGGTTAACCAAGGGCTCGTTGAGCGTCCAAGGTTTCCATTCCTTTCAGGTGCACCTTAAAGAGAGGCAATCAGCAAGGTGTGCTCGACAGAAAATGTGTATTCTCAGCCTTGAAGTACATGCACTGCTTAGGAGCTCTCTCCTTTGGCATATCACCCAGTGAGGCTAAACCACCCTGGTTTTCCTTTCCCACTTCAGTTTTAGGAATAAGCATGGTGAATCTGGGAATTTGCATCTTGGGTCCCCAAAAAAAGCATTTGTAAAGGGTTTCTTGCCCCCCCTTAGCTTTTCTTCTGCTGCCCACCACCCCCCCCAGCTGTTTCCATGACTGTAGCATAGGGTGGATGTTAAAATCTCTGGACATTTCCAAATGGGAAGGAAAGACACAGATTCCTATCCATGAGAAACTTAGCAAGATGCTGAGAGAGAAAATTCACAGCTGGACACACCATAATTTGCGGTAACAGAGACGCCCATCCTGCCCAGTTAAATCTGGAAGTGCAGAGTAAGGATAAGGATCAGTGAGCAGACAGGCAGAGCTGTGTAGCATGCAGCGAGGTCTCTGCCAATCTCAATATTTAAATCTTTTTCTTTTTTACAGAAACCGCAAGTCCCCTGATTTCAAATCCTTTCCCGCTTTTACAAAGTAAGTGTGATGGATGTCTGTGGTGCGCAAAGGCAGGGGCTTCCACCCTGCAGCCGTGCTGGCCTGCCCTCTCAGCATTTTTCATGAATAAATGGTTTTTTTATTATGAGTCCAGGTGTCAAAACCAAAATGCCTCACTTCTGTGGCTCTGGTTTCAGATTGAAATGCAACAGTAATCCTTCAGGGTGTTCCTGTGCAGTATGTGGCTGCTAGACCATTTAGAGTCACTTAGAGCCGTCTGGGAGTGAAGTTTTGTGAAATACACCAATAATACGTGTTCTGAGAAACCAAGGTTTGAAGACTGAAAATGAATCCATGTTTAAGTTACATTTATGCGCAGGAAAACTTGTCTTCATGGCTCAGCTACCTGAACGCCTTTGCAGAGACAATTCCTTTTGGGCTGAGAGCACAGATGAGAGATGGGAGCCCAGGACAGGGTGCTGAGCAAGCAGGAGGGGAGGGAGAGCAGGTTTGGGACGGGTAGGCGCAGGTGAGCTCTGCTGGAGATGCTGCCCCGTGTCCGCGATGCTTCCAACAGGCGGAACTTCTTCCTTTGCCATACAGTGTGCTTGGTTACTGCTTGGCTTGCGTCTGGATTTCAGGGTTGATACTGTCTGCGCCAACCTCGTGCTCCAGGACTGCTGTCCCTTAGGGTGGGACAGCCCTGAGTGCTGCGCCCTGAGCAGGGCCACAGTGGCAGAGGATGCTGCTTCCGTCTCCACTTAGAAATCTGAGAAAGAAGTGAGAGCCTTATGCAGAACATGAGAGTTCATGTTGGAAGAGAAATCAAATTAGTGCCAACAAATCTAACAACCGGGATGCATTCAGGACTCCCCTTTTGAAAGCACCCTTCATAGCACCTCTTCGTGTAGCGCCTCTTTTATTGTCTGAGCTGGGTAGAAGTGACACAAGTTCTGTTCTCGAGAAACTTCTGCTTATTTTGGTGTGTGATGGTGTGTTTCTACGAGACTGCTGCCGAGTCGAATGTATTGTTTCGTTGGTTTGTGTCAAAGGTATGGGAAGATGCAGTTGCGCTGTTGTTAAAGCCAAAGCCAATGGAAACACTGGGTGAGAAATGCTGAGAAGTTTTTCCTTACAGTTCTTCTGCATTTGTTTTTCATCAGAATGTGGAAAGAAGTGTTGAAATGTGGGTCCTTTCTGTTGAGAAGAGAGCTGCCTGGAGGTCTGCTCCCTGCGCGGCCTTCAGCCGTTGAGCTGGCTGCTGGGTTTCGCTCGGGTACAAGCAGCTCAGGGCGTTTTCTCTTGAAACTTTCTGTTAACAGCTTTCAACTCGTGTTCACTGCTGGCCTCAAACCAGGTTTTGCTATTTTCTCTGGCTTAGATGTAGCAATGAGACTTAACGTGGGAATTAGAGTGATTTATTTAACCTGAGCACAAACGCTGTTTTTTCTCTGTCTTGGCTTATACAGCCCGCTGCCTTACTCTGGAGCCTTGTTCACTGGGTGTATATAAAGCACTAATAAAAGTGTCTGATAATAGCCCTGGGGAAAGATTTTAAACTGTGCAGCCAGCTGTGAGTGCTAGTTCTGTGTGGCTCAAGAAGAAGCTTCAGCAGCTGCTGGTGCTTTAGGCTTCTGTGAAGGTGTTTTCAGAGAGTGCTTGGGCAACCAGTAATGTCTTGTTCAGAGCGGAGAAGGACCTGGCTCTCAAAGCAGGCTGGTTTTTCCAGGGAAGGACGCTTTTGGGGAGGAGTGCTTCGTGCTCAGCAGCCAATGCCCAGTGCACCACAGAATAGCGTCTCTGCTTTTGGGGGGGAAGCTCTTTGGTGCTTGGTGGGAGAATGAAATGCCATTGCTTGGGGATGCTGCAATGATTGAGTTTCAGACTGAGCTTGCAAGAGGCTGCTGGAAGTGCCCTAGGATGGGTGTTTGCAGTTCCAACGGCACCACTTGCTCGCAGTGGATTTGTTTGTTCTCACTACTACACAACCCCTCTACATTGTGGGAAAACTCAGGAATGAGAGTCAGACTCACTGAGATCATCTGGCTGTAGAGTAGCCCTTTTCTGCTGGCAGGTGGGACATGTTCAGAGTGATTTCCTCCCCCCAAATTTTCAAATATTTTGCCTCAGAAGAGTCAGGATCCTGGCTGAGCACAGTGCAATCCTTAAGTTGCGGGAGACAAGATAGCACTGCTGCTTCAGAGACGGCCACCTCCGAGCGCTGGGGCCTGCTCCTCTGCGTGGCGGGCAACAGGAGGAGTGGGTGGCGCAGCGACAGCTAGCACGGCTCAAGAGCAGAACCTGCTGTGTCTGTGCCACGAGCTCCGAGTGGAAGGGGACAGATGGTGAGGAAGGAGGGATCGGAGGAGGAGGTAGGCGATGATGGTGGGTGGACAGATAGCAGGGGACTGGCGTAGGCACTGTGCAGCCAGTCACATGTCATACACTAAACGTTGCACCCTCTCCCTGCCTTCTCTGGTGCTATGTGGCCAGGTCTGGCCCACACAACATTTGCCATTTCATGCACAAACTTTCTGCTGCCAAATTTAGGCTACAGGATTGCTTTTGAACGTACAGCAACAACACAGAGCCAGAGAGACAGCAGGGCTAATGTGGCAGCATGAACTCTCTAAGGGTCCGGTTCATGATTTCTTATCCTTTTATGAAGACTTAGAGCCCGTTTCTACCCCTTCTGCAAAAAAGCCTCGCATGTGCAGCTGAGCCATGTGGCAGAACAATGGAGGGCAGGAGATGCCCAGAGCCTTGCTTTCCAAGGCTCCTTGCGCAGCAGCGTATGTCCAGGGTCGGGCAGAGCCATTTCCCTGTTGCTGCACAGGCAACTGCAGGAAAGTGCATCGTAGCTGTGGCTGAATATGAACCCATGGGAGAGCTCAAGATGTGTCCCAAGCCAGCATCTTGATGAAGCTTGATGAAGATGCAGCATCTCTGACTGCTGCCCCAGCTTCACAGCTCTGGTCTTGGCTATGTGTAAAGCTTGCTTTGTGGAGGTGGGTAGAGGAACGATAGCAGCCCGGCATTTCATCTTCTGAGACGTTCAACAAAGTGTGAGAAAGCTGGGCTACAGGTTTAGAGTTGAGCATTGCAGGATTTTAATGGCTTATTTGTCAATGTGAAGTTTTTATAGGATGCACTAGTGGCAGTCAGTAGTAGAGAGGCCGCAGTCTGCTACGCACAAACTGCAGGACCTTGTGCCTGGGTCACAGCCTGGCCAACCAAGCAAGAGCAACCAAAGCTCAGGATTTCAGACTGTAAAGGGGGAGGACTCTGAAGGCAGCCTCAGTGACCTCTCTGCCTGTCTCTTTCCACCTTCCGTGCCTGTGTAAGGTGAGCTTTGGGCTGTTCTCACACCCTCCCTTCCCATCACCCAGCTGCTTTAGATTGAGCAGTGGTTACTGGGAATGAGCTGTGGAAACAAGGAGAGCAAGGGAAAGCTGCTTTGAGATACAAGTGTGGAGGAAGGTTGTGTGAGTGCAGCAGCCCTGCATGCCCACTGGGAACTGGGGGGGTCTTGGGATGATGTCCTGCACCAGTCAGGGATGGCTTAGGGCTGTGGGAGCTGTGGTTACAAGTGTGAACTGGAGTCCCAGCCCACAAGTAGGCAGCAAGACACCAGCTGGCACCAGCACATTTAGCATCTGCCCAGGGGATGCAAATAGAGGGAGCTTGGAGAAAGCAGAGCACCCTCCTCCCCAGCCCACACCAAGGGAACAGAGCTAGAAAGCTCGCAGCGCCTGGCATTGCTAAAAGGCCCATGGGCCCAAGTGAGAGCCAGGAGCAACGTGGGGTACATGGCTGGTTTCTTCTCATCATTCCTGCCACAACTCCCACCCCTTCAGATGTGGAGCAGCAAGAGGAATTGGTTCCTGAGAAGCAATGAAGGGCTTGAGGAGGTGAGGTAGAAGGTTTCCAGCAGCGTGAGACAGGCTGTCCGGACAGTTCTGCTGCAGGCTGGAAGTCTCCAAGCCATTTCTTGAGCTGA